ATTCCTGGGAAAAGAGTGATTGTTCTGAAGCCTTGGTTACAAATAGCTGCCAGAACTGGCTTTAAATCATCTTGATCTATCAATAACCACTGTGTGAGTCCCCTATTGCTGCTGTAACAAATTCCCGCAAACAGCATCTTCAAATAACACAAGTTAATGATCTTATGGTTCTGACAATGCAAAGGCCAAGATGAATCTCACTGCACTAAAGTGAAGGTGTCGCTGACAGGTTTGTGTTCCCTTCTGGAGGCTGTAGGGAGACTGTGTCCTTGCCTTTCCAACATGCAAAGTTTGTCCCCATTCCTCAGCTAGGACCCCTCTCACCTTCGGTGGCGGCCACGGACACTCAGATTATTCTCACACCACGTCATCCTGACACAGACTCCCTGCCCTCCCCGTCTCACGCACACACACCCTTGTGATGACACTAGATCCTCTAGAATATTTTCCCCATCTCGGTATTCTTAATAACTCCTTCAAAGTCTCTTTTGTCATGTAAAGTAACATATTCACAGGTTCCAGGGATTAAAAACGGACACCTTTTGGGCAGCTTATTCTGCCTACCACAGCCACTCACCTCCGTGAACACATTTATGCAAGGCCTTCAGTCAATGCTAGCCCCTCACGTCTGGAAGTCAGGGAGTTGAAAGCAACTCACCCAAGGAGCAGTTTCAAGTGCCAAGCAGTCAACTCAGACATGGGAACATGAAGTTCCCATGTCTGAGTCATTTCACCATGTTAAGACTTTTAGGAGCACATGTTTGCTTTCTTGTGGTAAGATGTGGGTATGTTGCCAAAGCCGGGCCAATCAGAAGCAGCTACTCCAATGGCTGACACCATCTCACCTATGTCTCTGCCCTCTAACAGCCCCTGAATCCCACCCTGCCCACAAATTCTACATAAGACCAGCAGCCCCGTCTGCTCAGAGACACCGATCAGCATAGTTTTCCCTTTGAGAACCAATCAATTAAGACTTGTGCTTATTAATGCAGAAATTATGAGGCAGTCTCATTTGACAAAATGTCTCAATATTACATATACATAATTACCAAGAAAAGGAGAAAGAAAAAAAATTGAAGGAAAGGCAAAATAGAAAGACTCTGCACGTGCCAGTACAGAGGCATCTGGACCAGAGAGAGGAGAAGAAACTGGCTGGAAAATCCTGAGGACCCAGTGCCCGTGAGGCTCCCAGGGACCAGAGCTGGGAGCTACCGACACTTGAATGGGGAGCAGCCTGAGGAGCAGTGAGAAGTGAAGGTTATATCCTCCCAAAATGTACGTGTCGACGTTCTAACTCCCAGTGCAACTTACACAGAGATGAGGCCTTTAAGGAAGTGACGAAGGCTAGATGAGATCATAAGCAGGGGGACTGATCTAACAGGATTAGTGTCCTTCTAATAGGAGGACCAGGGAGCATGTTCACCCTCTCTCCTGCTCCCCCAAATAATACACAGGGAGAGAAGGCCATGTAGGGACAGAGGGTCAGTGGTCATTTGTAAGCCAGGAAGAGAACTCTCACTAGAATCCAATCTGGATCTTGCACTTCTTGACTCCAGAATTGTGAGAAAATATTTTTGTCTTGGGAGGCCAAGGTGGGCAGAGCACGAGGTCAAGAGATAGAGACCATCCTGGCCAACATGGTGAAACCCCATCTTTACTAAAAACACAAAAATTAGCTGGGCGTGGTGGTACGTGCCTGTAGTCCCAGCTACTCGGGAGGCTGAGGCAGGAGAATTGCTTGAACCCAGGAGGCGGAGTTGCAGTGAGCTGAGATCGCGCCACTGCACTCCAGCCTGGCACCTGGTGACGAAGCAAGACTGTCTCAAAAAAAAAAAAAAAATGTTATTTAAACCACCCTGTTGATGGTATTCAGTTATGGCTGCCTGAGCTCACGGTACAGGGGGTTTCTTATCCAGTAACTTAAGCAGCTTCTCCTACCTTTCTGGAATCGCCTCAATTTTGTTTAATTCCTGTAATCAAAACCCATACCTGCTTTACCCTTGTTAAGGCCGATCTTTGCCTTTAGAAGGACTGATCATCTAGTTTGGGGCTTCATAGCTTAACAGGTCGCAAGAAAAAATGATTTGGAATGGGAAATTTTCTTCAATTTTATTTTTGGAAAGAGTTTGACGTGTGACTTGAGACACTGGATTCAGATTCTGCACGGAGACTCCGTGACTTCATGTGGCCTGCTTTTCCTGGGAGATTCTGGACTCTCCGGAACCAAAAGACAAAAGTTTGGCTGTAGGTGCAGGACCTGCACCGGCCCTGGAAGACACAGCGGAAAACGAAGGCATCAAAGAGGAATGGGAGGAGGGTGAGAGGTTGTTCTTGTGAGAAGGAAAGTGACTAGGGAATCAGAGATTGTGTGTGTGTCCAGGATGCGGTCAGTGAGGTTTCGGAGAGAGGAGCCGCCTTCTTTGGCTGAGAACGCAGCCACCTTGGTTTCGGGCTCCAGTCACTGTCCTGTCCACCTCCTCCTTATTCTGCCTGCCACTCCCCATCCCTCCCCACTGTCCTCTCAAGCCTTTGGGTCACCACTCCTCCTCCCTCTCCCGGCTCTTCCTCCCCCATCATCACCTCCTCCCCGCTTCCTTCAAGCACGGAGGATGCAGGTCAACACCGGTCTGAGAAGCTGAGGGAAGGTTTTACACCATCAGGAGAAGCACAGGTAGATTTCTGTGAGGTCAGAACCTGTTTTTGAAGAGACCAGGTAAGGGGGCTCCATCTGTAGGGCTGAGCCTCCACGGCCAACCCTTGCAGCACGAGCCTTAGGCCAAGTTTGGATATGGTGTGGCCAAAAGTCAGGAACCACCAGTCTCGGGCCTCCCAGGAACTTGAATATTCCAGGTGCCTGGCTTCTCTACAGGGGAGTTCCAAGGGCAGGACCATGGTGCTCCCTTGTGGTCCTTAGCGGCAATGCAGGTGGCTCACCAGGGTGCCAGGCATTAGGAGCAGCACAATCATGTACAGGAAAGAAATTTCTGGAAGGCTAGAGCAAGAGGGCCTGAAGTTTTGCCGGTTTGTCCTTAAATAATACTTAATAGTTTCGCTGACTTTTCATTCATTCAGCCAAGTCTTCTAGTAATTCCTCTGTATTTAACAGCCAAAGTTACTCGTGTAAATCCTTAAATACCTGAGTGTAGAAGCAGAGCTGATTCCACCTCACTGTTGAGGTAGGGCGTGTCTCCACCCAAGGCACGAGGCTGCTGAGGGTTTTGTGGTTGTTATTGTTGAGGTTGTTGGTGGTGGTGGTTGTGATGATAGTGGTTAAGTTTTTGTTCTTGTCATTGTTTTCATTTTTCCATACTTTAAATTTTTTGTTGGTATTTGACATAATTTTACATATTTACGTGGTACGGTATGATGTTTCAATACATATATACATAGTTTAATGATCAAATGGGAATAATTACCATGGCCATCGCCTTAAATATTTATCATTTATCATTTCTTTGTGCTAACAATATTCAGAATCTTTGCTTCTAGTTATCTTAAACAATATGTTGTTATTTCCTTCCTTCCTTCCTTCCTTCCTTCTTTCCTTCCTTCCTTCCTTCCTTCCTTTCTGAGGTGGAGTATGGCTCTGTCACCCAGACTGGAGTGCATTGGCGTGATCTCGGCTCACTGCAACCTCTGCCTCCCAGGTTCAAGCAATTCTCTGCCTCAGTCTCCTAAGTAGCTGGAATTACAGGGGACTGCCACCATGCCCGGGTAATTTTTGTATTTTTAGTGGAGACAGGGTTTCATCATCTTGGCCAGGCTGGTCTTGAACTCCTGACCTCATGATCCACCCACCACGGGCTCCCAAAGAGCTGGGATTACAGGCGTGAGCCGCCGCACCTGCCCACGTTATTTGCTGTAGTCCCTCTACCGTGTATGTAACAGAACAGCACAACTTATTCTTCTTGTTTAACTGTCAGTTCATACCCATTGATGAACCTTTCCTAGTTTTCTCCTCTCTCTTATCCTGTTTTACTCCTTTTGTTGTTGTTGTTAAACAGTTTAAATTTTATTGACCTCCCAGCTTTTAAAAAAAGTTAAATTTAAGGTCACACCTCTAAATTTTATGTACTATATACGGATCGTGCAGAATATGAGTTAAAGAGATACAAATTAGTCCATGCCAAAAAAGATGTACTAGAGTACAGAATCATCTTCATAAATACATATAAAATTCTTGTGAAGATAGAAGGGAACTGCCCAGGTTTTCTGAGACACTTTTCTAAGTGATTCAAGGCACAAAATGTACAACATTGTCAATACACACATTCTAGACTTTGTGCCCCTGACACGGGCCAAATATTTAGCTTCAGGACTCTTATAAAACTAAATGTACTGAATGAGATTCTGCTTCTTGGGTGAAAAACCACAGGACCTATAAACATCATGTAGATAATTACTGCAAAATATGGAGAATACAAATACAAGCACTTTATTTTAAAAAGCAAACACAAAAGATCGGTGTAAATCCAAAAGTGTTTAAATCCTTCCGTTTTGGATAATTTAATTAAGAACTTATACAAGTTTGTTCCCAGAAGCTAATGCATCACTAGTTTCTACTGAGGAAAATGAATTCTAAAAATTAACATGGTTTTCAGTAATTCAAATTTCACTATTTATAGAAAAACCTAAGCCGGGTGCGGTGGCTCACGCCTGTAATCCCAGCACTTTGGGAGGCCGAGGCGGGTGGATCACGAGGTCAGGAGATCAAGAACATCCTTGTCAACATGGTGAAACCCCGTCTCTACTAAAAATACAAAA